TTTGCCTTGGTCATGATTATCCTACTGATGTTTGTTCATGAATGTTTGTCTCACGTTTTTATAATAGTTTATTTTGGGCATGAATAGCGGCCTCCACTGATGATAGCAGTCGAAATGTTAATATCGCGCGTTAGTGGTAATGTTTCTACGTTGATGCAGTGATTAGAGAGGATATGATATTTCCCAGTACTGTAGAAAACATCACTAAACATACAAAACAGATGAACCAAACGGTCAGACGCCGTGGCCCTACCGATATGCGAAGAGTCGTTTGGTTCAGTTGGTACATTTCCAATAAAATTACTGTACAGATTTTGGTATATCAAGATGCATCCCTACTGAGAATAACGGATCGCTGTGCACATGACAAAGCCAAGAATGGTGCAGAAAAAAGAAATACTGTATAGTGATCGTCTCCTCCAAAGTCGATTGTATTGGTTCGTAAGAATACGATATCACTGAGAGGATAGAGTGTGTTACTTCTCTTGTGTCATTGCATTTGACGGCGTAGATACGCTGGTCATACCGATGAGTCAATAATAGGATTGGGTTAGTTCGCCTAAGCGGTCTACGCCATCCATCGACAGATATAGAAGTAAGGACGTTGCTGGACTGGAACAAGCTTTACGGTGCTGCTTCAAGACGTTATGTGATTTTCTGTGTGGCATGCTCTTAACTCCACGCACAACACTCTGCGCGCCGTAGGGACGAGAATTAGGTTTCACGATGGATCCTCGTATTGGCTGACTGTCCATAAACTATTTAGGTACGGGGGTTTGAGGACATGAGCTTATTAGGCCATCACCGCTCGCTGCGTATTCACTAAATGCTATGAAATGTGTTACTGATGTTTTGGACTAACTCACAAGACTAGTATGCCATTTCTCGTGTAGCATTCACTGATGCAATACCAATGGTTGTGTTGACACACAAAGCATGAGTAAATCAGCTATTATTCGAGTTTCGCCACTTCAAACAAATGCCCATTTTAATGTGTTTAATTCACTCGCTGTCTCCATGCGCAAATGACAACCGTACGTGCAATTGCGTAGCAACTGGGTGGTCTGCGTACATTTATCTGACATTCGACTTCATCTGTCAAGCAGACAGATAGAGGTAGCGCACCAGGTTGCCTGTATGTCATAAAGTATTTGGTTTCAGCGCACCAGATTCCATCATACGCAACTCAGCTGCGCAGGGGTCAGAACAAATGGATGAAAATGTATCGCCAATTAGATCACTACCTACCTCTAAACAACGTGATGTGGTATTGCTCTGATGCATCCATGGATCATTGTAAACTCATCCTGACAATCCTCAATATACAATGAAAGAGTACGCAGTCGATGTGATCCATTGATCAAAAACAAGCATTTACAAGTAGAGTTCGTTTATCAAATAACTTGCATGGCGTTATGATATCAGCCGAATTAGCAACATTTCAATAGGTATTTTGTCATCCATGATGACGAAAACTTTTGTCCTGAAACCCCGTACCCTAAAACCCTATGACAAGGTATTTATTATCGAATAGTCCAAATTCCTACCGAAGTGTGTATTTTTAATCTTATCTTTTACCGTGAAAAATATGCCAGATCAAAGAGATTGCATTTATTGCCATCCGGCTAACAGGGACAAATTTTATACGTGGTTTTCATATGCAATCGACATTTCAGCAAGCGTTCTGCAACGATCTAAATTTAACCTTCTATCATATACTGAGGTAAGCAGTGAATTCCTTACAAATCTATATTTTGTGCATTCTAGATTTACTTGTGTAAGCACAGTAATCACGGGTAAACTGAATGTACACAATAGAAGGTAAACGACGATTATTTGTAGTAAACAAATGCCAGAAGGATTTTGTGAAATAAAAACGATGGCATTATTCTATAAATATATCGAAAGATTAAACTGTTAACTGCCCTCCTTCAATTTGAATCGTCGCTTATATAGTTCTCAGTTGGTAACAGCGTCCGTTAGATCTGTGTAAGATTGGAAAGTCAAAAACTTTACGTCGGGGATATGCTCTTCTTGTGGACAACAGTTTCGCTACGAATTCCTATGGCTCTCGCTTTCTTAACTATAACTACGGCCTCAAGCAAAGTATGTATCATGCCGACATATTTGAGACAACAGGGATCTCAAAGCCGTTAAGTTGATCAGTAATTTCGGCTACATTTCGGTATCAACGGACTATAATATTTCTATGGGTATGGTAAGAATTGTCATTTAGGTTCGGCCAAGATTGCTCCAGTGTGCGGTCGAATGCGGGTTAATCCGCTACAGAGCTAACTGTACGGTGACAGGCATTGGTCGCTGCCAACTCTTGATGTCACTGTGCTAAGCGGACCACGAAAGGCAGCACTGCATGCTTGAACGTGCAACCGAAGTCATAAAACTGACAACAATGACAGGTGCCTTATTATGCACGCAAAGCCAATGGTGGCATGGCATCCCTTTCCAACTTTATCGTTAATTCAGACGATTTGGTAGTTAGTAGAACAGACATCCCAGCAGATGAGAGATTACTGGCTGATGAGTGTAACAAATGGCTGTGGGGGGCAACATAAACCCTATTGGTTTGTCTAAGCTGGTTCCGCATTACGCTTTGGCTTATCCATTCAGTAATTTCTAAACTGGTGCAGATCCTGTGGCTGAAGTATGAATGGTAATGTCAGATCAACGACAACGAGCCCAATCGTATCCAAAAGCAGTTTAGCCGTTGCGCGAAACCATCAGTATTTCTTCACAGATGCCAACATTCGAATCTGTATTAGAACTCATATTGTCGTATTCTTCAGACTCCTCTCTCGTGTGCATAACGAACAGTAGGCAGCTCAAGCATAGTTGAGATTGTATAAGCCGGATTGAGTTTACAAACGTCTCGGACGCAATGATTCATTCCAGGACGTAGGAACGCAACTGCGCTGATGGCAGGGAAAACGGACGGTAGTTCTAACAACAAGTAATCATACGGTTTGCAATAGCAAGCTGTATCATTAACGGTAACCGGTATTTGTAGCACGGAAAGAAACGTTATTAAACATAACAAGTAAAGCTAGATTGACATATTTTACCAAAGCATACTGATGCTGTGGGTTTGGGCACATCACAGGTACTGCTTTTGCTCGGTGGCTAGGGATCCCTCATGAACACGACTCTGAAGGCCGCCTGCTGACTTGAGGAGCGTCCAGCAGAGACTATAGTGAGACTGGGGTGAGTTCAGTGGAACATATGCGGGATACATTTGCTGAGTTCTCACTGAGAACAACTTGACTGTGGTCTGTGAAAATCAGCGTACCCTTTCCGGCAGTTTCCGTTAGGAAGACACCGCTCTGAACTACGTAATTTGGGTCGCTGTGCAGCAATATTTCTACCGGGCCTGAGCGTATACTAGCGCAGGTGAACTCCGGCTGAGTTTGGCAGGGCTGTGCCAGCTCTAGATCAGTTATCCCGCAATGTTATCGAGCGCTGGAATTCACTACCAGAATATGTGCTCTTGAAATAAGGTTGAGTGTTTGGATCACAAGTTAGAATAACTGGGTTGACAACACGAAAAACTTCACTTTTCTCATCAACTCCCATCTTCAGGCTTTGACTTTACATTTTGTGATTTGCTTCAATCACTTATATTAACCTCCATTTAAATGCGCTTCTATCTTCTGTAGCTTATATTTCCCTCATAATTCTTGCTTACTTCACATGGTCGGCACAGCGCGGATGTTAGTGTGGTAAAAAAGACAAAGTTTGATCGAGCAGAGTGTGGTGTGGGTGTTTCGTTGTAGATCCATCAAGAACACGGAAAACCTTAACATTTCATGGCTCAACAGTCTGCTCAAGAGGAAACACTCACAGGATGTTCTTCTCACTCAAAACTTAATCAGTTAACCTTGGATACAGCCCGCAGTGTTTTCCCCACCCATCATACCCTAGATAACTTGATGAAAAACGACAATGTTAACTTGTTTTAGGGCTCTGCGATACTTAAAGCACCATACCAGGGTAAACTCACCGATGGAATTAATCGGCGGCCACAACACAAGAACTTGGCACAGTTTCGAGACGTCCGTCTTCATTACACGGGTTGATACCCTGAAGTTGGTATCGCGGCTATATAACACGGGAAGCTGATGGAATCACCCCGTCAGCATGACACAGTTTGCTATGTGGCAGGCGTGAGTGAGCGCGACTACTGCTGACCAGTGCGCACCGCTAGTAGGTTTTGAATCTGTCCACGCAAGTGCTGTGGATCAGCGCAGAAAGGCGGAGCCATAGGTGATAGCAATATGACCATTAAAACTAATCTTGTTCTGTTTCCAATTTACTTCGGTCTAGTAGGCTTCGGCGGTTTGTTTCTTGAGCGTTGCGAAGACGCAGCCGCATGATTTGAACAGTTCCTTTATTTATTTCGACATATTTTCCTTGTCAATTGTCCAAATAGCTCATTTAGATTCTTGGTATTGCACCTTAATATGCCTTCTTATTTATACCTGCAAAAACGTACCTGCATGAAACAATTTTCTTCAAATATTTATGAGTAAGTTATTCCTGTCTCCCTTGCGATATCTTGGGTGGCTTAAGGAGAAACATATTGCTGACTCTGTGGAAAACGTACTCTTCGCAGCATCCATCGAGGTGTGAGACATCGTTCAGCATTTTGCATGCACGGAACACCGGCAAATTTAATAGAATTTGATCCGTTTATTTGACACATTTGACATGTTCGAGTACTGGATACCCAGTTATTCCTCGCTTAAATCGAAGGGACCGTTTTCTGTGCGACCCCTAGTCATTATTTATAAAATGCCGAATTCAAACTACACACAATAGATTGAATGAAGGCTGGTGCTCAGACGATTGGAATAAGAAGAAGAAGAAGAAGAAGAAGACTTTGCTGACCATGTTTTCAAAGCACAAAATGTTTTCGACTGATGTCCTGTAGTATCGCATGGAAACAATGCAATTAAAATAGTATGTGGCACCCACAGTAGTTAAAGGGACGCACAAACAAAATTTTATTTGTCACAAGAAATAATGTCAGTAGAATTATAGTTCAAGGCAGTGTCATGCAAAACACTAGGTCTTCCGGTTCAATTCCACTAACCAAACGAAATTCGCACACATACGTTAACAAAGGCACAAATTCAAAATTGACCTTGTAAGGAAACACCCAACGAAAAGCGGTGCTACGCCAAACTGCGTCTTCCGGTTTACTCCGTTTGACCAAATGAAATTAGCAACGCACACAAGAGTATGCCGCCGAGCAATGTGTAGGGTATATCAAGCTGGAATATTGTTCCTGAAACAAATTAGACACATTATTAGTTAAAGTTAACATCTCTGATGTGCTTGACACTGTCAATATCATGTAGAAAACTGAGAAATTCGGGTTTCACCACGCAATTATTCTGCCAAATGAGTGCATGATACACAATATGCTCTATCATTGGTGATAAGGCTGCTTGTTTTATCCAAACCGTCCATTTGACCACTTTGTTTGCACAATATGAATGAAGCACTGCGAACATCGAACTCACCCAGGTAGCAACCAACAAATTGCGTCAACTAAAAGCCCCATTGTGCGAAACTCACCAAGGGAAGTGTTGTATTCCTCTCTATAATCGATTTCAAAACTAGGATCTGGTGTCACCGTTGAAGACGTGGATCCATCTACATAGGGGTGAGTAAGAAAAAGCAACATTCATTTGGAAAACATAAACGTTAGAACTCTGCCAAGTGAGCATCATGTTCGGAGGAATGCAATACTCAAAACACCGCCAACTTCACATAAGGGTTTACCTTACAATCTTCAAACGTACTTCCGTTAGTTAGTTAGTTAGTTGCCTATGTAGTGTGAAAACGTATAGTTATTCTGATCTCCGCTTGACTGAGGTGGATTTCTGTGTGACAACCCCCTCATAGTAAGCGTGGTAGGTAGCTGTTCTTTTGCTCAGCAATTTGCATATTCCTAGCGTGTCGCCATATGTAGATATCAGACATCTCAATCAGTTTGAAAAATTGCATCAGAAGAGTTTATTGATGCTTGCTGAACAATTACGTGATTGTAGTTGTCGCATTATATTTGCTTTGTGGGAGCTTTGGAAGGAAAAAGCAGGAGGAGATTGTTTTGCACACAAACTCTAAGGGACCAACGCAAATTCCACATCTTCATGAAATCTTTGCCCAAGCAAAATTGTACGCCTTCTAATGGATTGAGGTGTAAATTATCAGTTGGTACGAGTTCCACACAGAAACTAGGCACTAACATTCTGTATGTCTTCTACAGAGACTGGAAGCCTCATGGTGTATTGGGATTATTAGTTTACCCATGAAATCACTCATTGAGATCATGCGTGATAATTAGTAGTTAAAAAGTGAGTTTGGATATTGCTAAATTTGAGTACGTATGGGAAATATTTCTAAACAGAAGTTCCATTCGGCTGGTTTAATAAGTTATGGTTATTCGGACAGCATAATCTAGTCGTGAGATTCGTTGCAATCTCTAGAATATGGCATTTGCTATTCTTCAATTTTTATGGCGCGGGTTTACTACCCAGCAAACCTATGGGGAGGGTGTTGAAGTTAAACCAGTATACTATAGATAGTGTGCACGAACACCTTAGATGACTTGCTGTTCAGGTGGTTAGTTTTTAAAGTAGAGCAAATGGTGTTTTTATTTGACACTTACCATTTGTGATCGATTTCACAGTGCCTTCCGCTATAGTATCGTTAGTCGTTGTGGGAGTCACGGTAGTTGTGACTTCTTCTGGTATAACTTGAAATAAATGAAACGGAAGCATGCAGGTAACTGAAGGGTTTCAATGTATAATGGGTTACAATGAAGTCAACAAACGCTGTCCATTTCGCTATTGTGTACATTTTTGAAAAAGTTCCTAGTTTCAGCACTGCGCTAGTAAATAAATAAATAAATTGTATGTTCTTCGACGATGCGAGTTGTTCCCTAGAAGAAACAGATCAAATTATGGCACAACTTTTCCACGATATTTCAGCACTACATTTTCAGAGATAAACATGGGCGCAATTGCAAATTAGATTACACAGAGTAATCAGAATCGTTCTGCTATTTTTTCCTGCCATTGAATCAGGATTCTTTACAATCACATGACAGATATTTGGGCCGAAAGAAAAATGTAATGAAAGGGGCTGTTGTCCGAAATGTTATGTGCATGTGTTTCGGAAATTTATTCAGACACCATGGATACCGTTTCCGAATGCTTTGTCTAGGGACTGTGATGTCCCGAACATCTTAATCATGTTTCGGACGGTTAAACGCTTACTAATAGCAAGCTTAAAATTGCAAAGGGTATAGCATGTTCTGATATCACTTTGAAGTTTGTCCCAAATCTTTGAGCATTGCGTTGGAAAGAAACGTTCTCTGATTTTCGCAGTAAATTTTGGAATCATTATCGTTACCTCTTTGTTACGTAGTGGGTATCTGCTGTTTACAGTTATGTGAACACCGTTTTCAAGACTGCGAATTCGACGATTTCTGATTCTGTAAAGAAAACATAGGTTCAGCTTCATTATCCGAAGCCAAACTGGGTCAAATCCAAGTTTATCACATCGCTCCCTGTATGTCAACTTTGAAGAATATCCACATAGCTTTTTCGTGAAGCGTCTCTGGACCCTCTCAAGAGCGTGCTGGTCAGATTTCCGTAGATTAGACTGTACCATTGAACAGTATTCAATACACGGCAACACATATGTTTTGTAAAGCGATCTGCGAGATTCCGTGAGGTAAAATTGATGGCAGATATAACCGATTGTCTTCATGGCCTTCGAAACTTGGAAGTCAGAGTGTTCAAAAAAGTTAAACATAACTGATTATCGCACGCCCAAGTCGCGAATGGTCCTGCATTGCGAGATATAGGCACCTTGTAGTATTAAACTGTCTGGCGGTACTTGGCATTTGTACGACAAAATATTACATTTGTCCACGGCAAATGACATCTGCCACAGTTGGCACCAGGACTCAAGGGCGAATAAGTCATCCTGAGTGAGACGTACGGCTTACTGAGTATTTGCATGTGTTTGTGAGTAGACGATTTTAATGTCATCAGCAAAGATAAATGCAACACCATGTCTTATTCTCTGGAATATATCATTAATATAAATTAAAAAAAGAAAAGGACCAAAAATACTATCTTAAACCACTCCACTAGTGATTACTTTTGGTTTAGAGAAATGGTCGCATATGCGCACAACCTGATGTCTACCTGTTAGATATGACAGCCAAGAGAACATCGGTTATCCAATGCCTATAGCCTTTAGTTTGTTTAGTAACCTTCTGTGAGGCACTCTATCAAAGGCTTTTTGCATATCCAGGAACAGTATTACGACAATGTTTCCGTTGTCAATGGCAGTCGTTGTGTGGTTTAAAAAGTCAGTCTGGCTTGTTGCGCAGGATCGACCTTGCACGAAGCCGTGTTGCGAATTGCTGACGATGTTAGCTTTGTTCAAGAATATAAATAGTTCATCTTTCACTATCCTTTCCATTATTCTAGATACTATGGGTGTGTGATTGGTGGAACGAAAATTTTTAACCTCGTGGGCAGCGCCACTTTTATGTCGCGGGATAACAACAGAAGTATTCCATTGAGTAGGGTATACTCCGTTGTTAAAAGAGAGTGTAAAGAGGTTGAGCAAAAGCAGAAGGAAGTCACTACCACTGCTTTTTATTAAACATGGGGTAATCCCATCAGGACCTGCGCACGTTGAGAAGTATAATCGAGCGACTTGATCAGTGATTTTCGCTATAGTGCATTCCACTCTGTATAGACCTTCATTATTGTACGGCATGATAAAAGTTGAGGTATCTGATGATTCAGTGAGCATTGATTCCGCAAAATGAGCACTGAAAGCTTCGCAGATATCATCTGGTGCGTCGTAGTATGTTCCATCAGGCGTGGTGATAAAACTGAGATTGTCACTGCAACGCGAAATCCGGGCACGGAATAGTTTGTCTAGCTCAGCTGTTTTCCTAGCTCTATTCAGAGCTTAATACTCTTCCAGAATGAGAGTTTTGTCACGTTGATGCCTCTGTTCTTTCTGGAGCTTCGACTGCTTTAATAATAGCGCAAAGTCAGCAGTTAACATGAATTGCTGACGAATCTTATGAAGCTTTCGCGCTACCTTCAATGCCTAGCGATCGGATTTAGGTTTGGTTTGGTAGGCACATTTTAGTGGTATTGCTGAATCGATGCAGAAGGAGATTATACTATAAACCAGGCCCGTCGCATGTTGACGGCATGAAGAAAGAAAAAATTATCCCAATTCATCGAAAGAACCAGGTCCTTGAATGAGTCCCAGTTGACAGAATTAAACAGACGATAATGCTTTGTTTTCTGGACATCGGCCATGCGTAGTCTTAGACAGCATTTGATTACGCGATGACCGCTCCCTAAAAATTCATCAAGAACGTTGACACTGATTGCATGTATGCCCAATGAAAAGATGAGATCCCGAATACTTTCATCTCTGGTAGGTTGGGAGACGTGTTGCTGCCAAACATTCATTTGGATACAAGAGATAAGATTGTGGTATTTGATAGGAGCGGTTCCTATGGACCATGAAGTCGTAGGCAGATGGAAATCACCTCTAATAATCTTATGTATAAATGGTAGGCTAGCGGCATATTCAAATGCATCTGACGTTGACCTTAGCTTCGAAGGGCGAGAATTAAGTGTTCTACCGGACACAGCATCTAATGCAATAGAGTGTCCCGCATATTTATGTGATTACTTGTTAATATCAGAAATCACTTGTTCATTCACCATTTCGTCCCTATTTGCAGCAAGCGGAGTATTATCCTCACATTTGTGCTGGTCACTAAGTGGAGCAATAGCAACTGGGTGAGGGGCACCAAATGGCTGTTGGGTATTCTGTTTTACTTCAGACGTTCTCCTCCTTATCCCTCGTTGTAGCGGGGTTTTGTCCTCCATAATTTTCAGGCTTTTGAAAGTCGTATTAAGCACAATGAGATTGCGCTTTAGAATAAATTGTTTAGCGATAAGTTCATTTTAAAACTGGAAAAGAATGGGACGCGCGTCCTCCGGTCGGTTATTTTTGGCTGTGTTGACAAGATCACTTTGTGTTAACTTTCTGCGTTCATTGGAAGTATTTCGTGGAAATTGAGCTACAATTCAGTTTCATTTCCGATTCTGAAATTTCCGACCAGAAATACTTGTATTTCATCGCTTGGTTTCGGCGATCTTGCTATCGCCACTTTCTTCGTCAATTGGCCGCCATCTTGTTTTCGGATTATTCGCAGTGCCGAAGCAGTCATCCTGTGGTACTTGCTCCAAACTAGTCGGATACCGTGCAATTGCCCTCACGTGTGCATTTTGCCAAGTTAAATACCATATTTTATGTGTTGGATTATCAGTGGAGCATTTTCATCGCCTTCGCGAGATCCAACACGATTTCGTCCAAACTATATGTGAAAATTGCCGAAATCAGATACAGCCAGAAAGAGTAAAGCCGACGTGTAGTCCTCAGCGTTTCGTTGCGAACAGCTCCGTGTGTTTGGCCCAACAACCTAGCGCGAAGAGCCTTCAGGTTTCGGCTCAGTCGTCCTCCTCTACCCGTGCAAACTCACTGACACGAAGTCCAACCGTTGTGAGAAGCCCAGTTGCACCTGGGCTAAATTGTTTACCTTTGTTGTGTCCACCGGAAACTGATGTCCCAGCAGGTGAAAGTCTGAGTGCTGAAGACCAGTGGAAAGATCAGAGTACGAAATTACGAAGGAACGTTGGGCGTTTACGTTCTGTAAGTCAACAGTTAGCCATACCACTTGAGGCTGGTAGTATAGTTCGCCCTAAAAGGCCAACCTTGTCCGACCAGAGGCGTTATAATCTCGTGATCTTTCACGCACCGGCGTCCAGTGATCCATCACCCCAATTGCGCTACGATCAAGAGGTCGAGTTTTTACAGGGTCTAATTGATAGACTCCTCGACGTTGGTGCGGACTCGGTAAAAGTGAGGCAGATTACCCGTCTTGGAAAGCAAGGTGATCAACAAAATCGGCCTATGAGAATCACTTTTGTGGACGAAGCCAGTCCAAGACTGATCATGTCTCGTCTAACTAGACTGAAAGGTTCAAAAATCCATGTTCCTCCCGACCTAGACCCAGTATACTGGGGGCGGCTCAAGTCCGCCATCATTGAGTTGAAAAGACGCCCTGGTGAGGGGGAAACAAATCTTCGTATCGTAAATTTTCGGGTGGTTTCCAACAATCTGCGAATCAGGATAAACAGGCTGCTCACACTTCAAGCACGCCCGGTGGCTCCTGCTGCGGCCTGCGGGTAGCCTTCACAAACGTTTGCAGTATTATGAATAAGCGCGATGAGCTTTGTTGTTTCGTTGCGTCTGAGTGGCCAGACGTAGTGGGACTCGCAGAGACATGGCTGCATGCAGAGAGTTATGCACCCAAGAACTTGAACTCAACGGTTACTCGTGTTTCCGATGCGATAGACTAAAGAATGCCCACGGTGGTGTCTTACTTTACATCCGGTCTTCCCTGCGTGGGAGATTTGTGAGCACCTACCGAAGTGACGATGGACTGTGGGAGCTACTGTGGTGCTCCATCCGCCTCAGGCGCGGAGAACTGCTTGTGGGCGCATTTTATCGCAGTCCCCTGAGTCGTTGTTTGGATTGGCTGCCCCATCTTCGGACCCACATGAGTCGTCCACACTCTCTGCTTATGGGCGATTTTAACTGTCCTCAAATACGATGGCCTGATGTGCATTTGATGCCTGGACATAGTGAGGTTGAAGCAAAGTTCGTGGATTTGGTACTTGAAACTGGTGCATCGCAAGACATATGCCAGCCAACACGCATATCAACATGTTCAACCTCGTCCTATCTCGACCTGATGTTAACGAGCTACGAACAACGAGTGCGTGACGTTAGGATCCTGGAGCCCCTGGCTACGAGCGACCACTCAGTACTGATAGCTGATATGGAATTATCTTTGCCGTATTCACATCCACTGCAACCAGCTCCCAACTACTGGAAAACGGACTTCGATGGACTTGCTCGAGCCGCGAGCCAACTGGATTGGTCTCTGTCACAAACTGCATCTGTGGAAGATTGTCGGATATTTATAAAAGAGAGATTGACATCATTGTGTTCCCAATTTGTGCCATTGAAATGTAGAAAGTTTGGACAGATTAAGCCTCATTGGTTTGATAAGGAGTATGGAAACCTGGCTCGGAGGCGGCGCAGAATGTGGGACAAATTCCTTCTCTCTGGCTCTGCCAATGATTACGAAGGGTATAAATGTCAGCGGAATCTCTGCAACAGTGCAAAAAAAGAATAAACGCCGACACTTTGAAGAGCAGCTCGCATTAGCCACGAAGACCGCCCCCAAGAGAATCTTTGCATACGTGAAGCGACGCCTGAAGCCGGCGGGTGATGTGCCAGTGCTGGATGGCACGGATGGACAGCCCCTAACCTCCAGCTCTGAGCGTGCGTCCGCGTGGGTGGTGCACTTCGCTTCTCTATTTGCGAATAACCAGGTGTCTGTTCCGAGTTAGACGTGTACCGCTTTTGCTGAACTCGATAGTCTGCATTGTGGCGTCGAAGAGGTAGCTCAACTACTCGCCAACCTTGACGGCACCAAACCTGCCGGACCTGATGGACTTCACCCACTGGTTCTCAAGTCACTTTCAACCATCCTCTCTCCTATCGTGACTGACCTTTTCAACAGGTCGCTCTCCGAAGGTTTGTTGCCGGTTAACTGGAAATGTGCAGTGGTGAAGCCTATTCCGAAAGGCGGCGACCCTAGCAAAGTAGACAATTACAGGCCAATTTGTCTGACACCTATATTGGCAAAGGTTGCTGAGAAAATCTTGAAAAAGAGATTGCTGCAGTTGCTACAGTCAAACGAGGTCCTGACGCCTGCACAGCACGGTTTTATGCAAGGTCGCTCATTCATTACTAACCTGCTTGTGACGAGGCATGAGTGGTTGAAGGCAATAAACAAGGGAAAGTCCGTCGACGTGATATTCATCGATTTCAGTAAAGCGTTCGACAAGGTCAGTCATGAGGTTCTCCTTCACAAACTCAGCATGTGTGGCGTCGGTGGCTCACTGCACCGGTGGATCCGCGACTTTCTTGTTGGACGAAAGTGGAGGGTACAGGTCGACGACCATCTAACTGACTGGTACCCCTCTACAAGTGGCGTGCCTCAAGGCACTGTGCTGGGGCCCACTCTGTTCCTGATCCACATCAACGATCTACCGCAGCTTCTCCGGTCGCCGTGTGCCTTGTTTGCGGACGACATGAAGATTTGGAGAGAAATCGACGCTCCCGATGACTGTGGTCTACTTCAGCAAGATCTCAACCGCTTATCCACATGGTCTGCAGAAGTTCTTCTCCCGTTCAACCCAGCCAAGTCGGTATTTATGAGCCTGGGGAAGGGTGTTAAGGCCGAACCTACACCCTTGACGGCCAAACGCTATATCCCACACCCTCCGTGAAGGACCTAGGTGTACTCTCACGCTACGATTTGAAGTCCGTGGACAACACGAACAGGCTATATCGGAACGGACTGCGCATGCTTTGGGCGCTCAAACGTAGCTTCTGCACATGGTCTGAAGAGGTTGCCACTCGCCTGTTCTCTTCTATCATTAGACCAATGCTAGAGTACGGTTCGCCCACCTACTTTCTGATTACCCGAGGCGAGGCACAAAAGATCGAACGGGTCCAACACGTTGCTACCAGGCTCATCCCGAGTTTACGTGGCTTTGGGTATGAAGACCGGTGCGAGAAACTAGGACTCTACACCTTGTCCTACCGTTGGGTGCGAGTCGACCTCATTATGACCTACCGAATTCTACATCTCGGTGAGTTCCCCATGTTAGGGCCAATGCTGCACTTACGAGGGCCATGCAGCACACGCGGACACAGATACAAACTTGTCGTGCCGGATATGAAACGTGTTCCCCACCCACTGTGCTTCGAATGGAGAGTGGTAAACATTTGGAATAGTTTGCCCGAACATGTGATTGAGGCAACATCTGTGCAACAGTCCAAAACGTTGTTAGATTTGCATTTTGCCTCTATTCGATTCAGAGAACGACTGCACACTTACGATGACATCACATTTGTGAATCCTGAAATATCGTAAGTCGAATATTTTAAATATTACATGAGAACGACAAAGATATTCAAGGTTGACAAATTTTATAACTTTTTTCGTCATATCTCGAAAGAGTTGTACAGAATCCATTTCTACTTGCTCTATAATACAGTATACAGTATTCAGTATTCATTACACTTTTTGGTAGTCTGATGCAGCTGGACCAACACGATTGCATACCGCATGTAGTAAGAAGCAATTTCTGAGCAGTTTTTAATGGTAATTTGTCTGACAAATTAAATACGACAGCATTGCGTGAACAGCGTACTCCATTGTGTACTTCGGTCGAAATGGAGTCTATCAGTACACTGCACTTCATGAGGTTCATTCTATCAATATTTGCGGGCGATTCAAATAAAACAGATAGACGCTGCAAAGGTTGCAATATCGGTGTGAGCATGTCGACTTTTGATGCAAGTTCATTGTATGCAGTTTCAGCTACGGATGCTGATTTTTCAGGTGTCTTTCTCAGGTCAGCATGTAGTACAAGAGAATTTCCTGCAGTGCCTACAATGCTTCGGGTATTTTTTACTACTGTTTCCAGTCTTTGTGCAAAGTACGTTAGTTCGTTGTCTCAGATTTTGAACTAAAATGGAAGCATCCTGGCCTAGAATAAATGTTTTCTCATTGAGTCTGTCCTTACTGTGGACATGATAATGAAACCGAAGTAAGATGCACTAAAGCAAAAGCAGAGGAGCTAAGACAGTGGGTGTTAACTTCTGATCCTTAACTGAAAACCACGTCTAATATAATGTTGGTGAAAAATGGCCACCCCGGGAAACTTTGCGATTTAATAAGGAACAAAAAGAACGCACTGCAGTGAACTATTTGAATCGCCGCCTCCTAGTTGCACACGCTGTTGCTTAGGAAACGCGATCTCTCCACCAAGTCCAACCGTGTTGTCGTTGTCTCACCTTTCCAATTCTATCCGGGTCCAGAAGGTTTTGCGGGCCGGCATGTGACAAGATTACATGTTAATAGTGCATTGTACCTGTTAAAATGATGGTGCTGAAGTTCCTACCATCATGAAAGTCCTTACTGGTTAGAAGCATGTATGAGGTAATGTTTATAAGTTCCAATAATGACTGAGCTTGACGTTCGTAATAAGTGGGCATGCTGCGCTAATGTTGTACCTTGCTTGCGCAGTAACTGTGTCTGGTTACTGGACAACATTGAGGAAGATTATATACGTGAATCCCACATACTAAAATTCCATTTGGAATCGGTCTTTGAGTGATGTTCCTTTGGAACTGCTAATCTGTGCGTCCTTAATTTCGTGAGACAAACGGACTAGTTACAACGAAAGCGATGTTTTCGGCTGAACGAACTAGCTGTTTGTTTGTATTGATACAGGTTTATTCAATAAGCGCAAGCGATTATCAAATACTTACCTTCTGTAAAAGTGGCGTTGAATGTTTCCCTTGTCAGTGAAAAGGCGGATGAGTAGACGATAGTCATCACATTTTGGGTGGAGTTGATACCTGAATGAGGAATAGGATCTTTTTCTCCGAATTTTGCTAGTTCCATCCCACCGCAGGTATTCCCATCGAGGACACGAAGCCACGAACTAGGAGACGTTATCTGTCAATGGGTGTGAAGTGAGTACGCAGTGAGAGCTGGAAACCAGTTCCATTTGTGAAATGCAATATTATCCATTCACTTAAGGGCCACAGTGAACCATGAAGCATAAATTATGAATGACAAAACATTGCGACCAGACTAGACCTTGGCGTGTTGTGATGTTTTACTTCCCGCAAAAATGCATTCAGCTACACATGGTGGTGCTTTTCTGCAAATTCAGAGCCCCTCATACCGGATTGATCAGTGGTTAGAGGCCAGACAAACTCAGTCTCTTGCCCTCTAGGCTGCTGTTTGGGACCAGCATAACACCCTTACTACATAAAACGGACACTCTGTAGCCCAGTACCAAAACACCGCTGCTTTGCGATCCGAATTATGAACCAAGGGCTTTCTTGTGTACCATTAGCGTTCTCTTGTCTAGGTTTGGGCAACTTGACAGTAATCTGCCCACGGAATACCCTATAGATTTTCCTTCAAACATTCCCTTGATGCTGTGGGCGTCGCACAGAATATGCAACACCGACCTAATTACCGCATCCATCAGGGTGGATAGAGGGGAGGATACTACTGCTCAGATCTACCTACTACTTACTACTCCTTCGCTTTTTCATCAGTATCGCCCTATTCCAACTGCACTCGTATCCCGCTGTTTCAAGTCTCCTATCACTTAGCCCCTCAACACCTTTGTCGTCTGCATTCAATTTACTTTCAATTACAGGACGTCCGTCGAATCCAGTCAACAAATTTATATACAACAAAACGGTCAACATCATTTCATCGGTTTTAATTTGGAGCTCTCAATCCTCACTAGGACTGGGACAGCTCAATATATCAATTTTGTCGCAGAGTGCCCACCAGGCAATAGTTATCTGAAAACCAAATTGCTTACTGATTACTATCAGCTGTTTATCGGAAATTCACCTGCAAGTTTTGACTTCTGTGCTTACCCTGCATTTCCCACATAAGACACCAGCAACACAGTCCCACTGCGCTTGTCTGGTGGTGACATAACTTCAAACCGAGATCGTGACAGTCGCTCCCCTTGATAGCCATCATACGTTATTCCGCTGATACGGGAAACCCGCCACTGGAGAACTGGTATTAGAGAAACTATATTCGACTAGAGTTGATAGCCAATCCACTGTTTGTCAAGAAGCTTAAAGTGTTGGGTCGAACACATTGGAAAGCAGTTTAAGCAATCAGTTACCATTTCAGTCATTGGTCATTGATCGCCCTACAATCTGGGTCGTCCCATTTGACCCGCTATCACGCGCGAAAGTAGAATGCGGAACTAGATTGTTGGGAATTGAATAAGGTTGCAGGAGCAAAGGGGTTTCCTTTGGATCTCCACAAAGCTGGGGAACTCGCTATTGTAAATGAACTGTGCAATAAACCATTTAAGAAGTGGCCGCATAAAACTGTCGCAGCAAACTTGATTCGCTCCATCAAAATGCCACTTTTCGAAGGCGGCTGCCATTCGGATGGCGGCAGTCTGCACGGGGTCAGTCTGATCTCAGTTGCCACTAAGTTGCTGCCCAGACTGACCGGAACCCGTGAAATTTAAATTCGCGAGGAGCAGGCGGGATTTCTTTACATTCGAGGCCATATGCACAAATTTCTCACCATATGCAAATTCTGGAAACAACGGTACAAATATGTAAGACCCTCAGTTGCCGTGTACCTGGATATCAAAGGTGCATTCGTGATATATATATATACATACACACATATATATACATATATATCTGAATATATATGTATATATGGGTGGCTTGTGCTGCACCACCCACAGCTCCAACCACACACCCCATATCCAGTGTAAACCCGAAGGAATAAGACCGGGAGGCATGCGGATGGGAACCACGTTTCATCAACGGAGCCGACCCACACACCTTCATAGGCAAGCACAAGCACGCTGTAGTTGGGAATCAAGCGCACACAAGGCGATGGCTGGACCGTAGTCCGCTCCACACTGAGTGCATGAAACCACTCTTCGAGCCTAGCACGGTCACGAAGGCCGTGAAGCCCGTCCCCTCCAGCAACGACCAACTGTCTCCTGGAGGCAGTATGGACGAGGTAGTGTGCAATAAACAGGTAGGCATCTTGTCAACATGCACATAAAGGCAGCCACATCGGGGATGTTAAACAACAGCTAAGCACTTGAAATAACATTATCAAATAAATCTGTTAAAGCATACGATTATGAAACATAACTCTTCCCTAACTTATCATATGAAGTAAGTTGGTTAGCAACGAATTCGCGATGGGTACAAAATGTCCAGAAGTTGCTCAAAAACGCTGCAAACGAAATAAAGTTAACGAAGATGATCACAAGTGGCCAGTCAATAGAAGATTATTCAGGTAGGCCGAACAACGCAAATAAATTGGAATGAAATTTATCCAGCTTAAAAGGACCTGATTTAAGTGTAAGTCGGGTTAGCCCAACTGCATTGATGAAGCATCATTAATGCAACATTAGCCGCAACATAGGGCACAGCATATATATATATATATATATATATATATATATATATATATATATATATATATATATATATATATATATATATATATATATATATATACACGGTTGGCGGCATCCGGATAAGGATTTGCTTGTCACTGTGGCCTTCACTGTGTGGCTACAAGAACCCTGCGCCTACAGAGGGACCATTGACGGCTTACGTTGCACCACTCACAACTCAGTCCCCACACCCCATATCCGGTGTAAACCCGAAGGAATTATAACGAGAGGCATGTGGGTGAGAGCCACGCTTCATCAACCGAGCCGGCTTACACTCCTACACAGGCAAACACAGGCACATTGTATTTGGGAATCCATCGCACAGAAGGCGGTGGCTTGACATTAGTCCAATCCACACTTATTGCATGGAACCACGCGTCGAGCCTAGCACGGCCACGAAGACCGTGTACTCAGTCCGCTCCGGCAACGACCAACGGTCTCCTGAAGCCAGTATGGAGGAGGCACCTAGTAAACATGCGCATCAAGCGCAAACACATCGACGATTTCAATCAATAGCCCATCAATTGAAATGGCGATATCAAATAAAATAAAGTGATTAATGCACGTAGATGCGGCGAACAATCTTCCTGAATAGATCGTCCATAAGTGATCGACCTACATATCAGTAAGATTTCGCGCTGCAACTACCTGCATTGAGGATGCCACCTTTGGTAGTATTGAAAGTTTTGTTACGAAAACGCCAAGCTCGGTGAAAAAATGAACAACCAAATCATGAGCCGAAGCTACCAGTATTAGAAACAATTTTAAGTACACACAAATATTGTGTGTTACGAAAAAATCCTCGGAATGTTCAAGACTTTAGAATATATTTCCAGAAAAGGCCACAAATGCGAAAATATCATCGAAGTTAAATAAATTAGTTTAAGGAACGTGTGCAAGCTTATAGTAGACAGTTCAGGTAGATATTTATATGAGATAAAAGAGCATTAGGACAAGATTGCAAACCCGCCACCTGAAATAAAGAGACTCAGCATGCACGAAGGTGGTTAGTAAACCGAATGCAGCGTACCTACAAACGCTGCGCCGGTTCTGCCTACGCTCTCATCGGGACCCATCGTATTTACGGCGTTGGCCCCGAGTGCCTTTACTCATGGCTCACTAGGAGTGCCGGACTCACGAAATCGCAGATACATTTGGTACAGCAACATGCTTTCAATGTGGATAGAGTAAACCCCATCAGCTCCTGCATCTTCTAAACATACCGATCCTTCTTTGCATGCTTGAGGACTTTCTCCTGCACCTCAGCAACGGCCTTCATGATGAGTTCGCACCATTCACACTGATCAACCGTTTTGGATTACCATAACCTGCAATCAAGAGTAGAACGTGAGAGGTTCAATTTGCTCATATCCTGGTAAAGTATCTTCGGTTTCTCAAGGTGCCGCTTCCCTGCACCCAGTTGGTCATACAGCAGCTGCATTGGCATCCGCGTCGAATCCGTACGCCTCACATGACCAGGCCACCTCGAGTCTCAACAAATGTATGCAGTCCACTGCATATATTTCACTTCGGCGCAACACCTCCGTATCTGCAAATCTGTCGTACTAACCAATGCGCTAAATCCGTCGCAAACATTGTTGATGGAACCGCTCGAGATATCGCCCATCCTGCTGGTAGATCGTCCACGTTCCGCTGCAGTATAGAAGAAAGGACAGTGCCATGGGTTTATACTCCGTCAGATTCGTGCCAATTTTAAGTAGATGGTTGCTCCACACACGGGACTCCAGCTTCCCGGAAGCTGCCGCTGCCATCGAGACGCGGATACACAGCTCATTGTGTAGCTTATGGTCAGTTAATATCACACTCTCAAGGTAGCGGTAGCGCGAAGTAGTATCCAGTTCTTCAGCACCAATGCTGATTAACGACACCATTGAAGATTGCTTCTCCGGTGAAGGCTGAAGAAGAGAATGCGTTTTGCTTGTGTTTAATGTGAGCGCTGAATTTGGCGCTGTCGAAGCCAAAGCACTAGTCTTGTTATGCAACTCATCTGTGCTGTGTGCAAACAACGCAATTTCATCAGCAAACAGAAACCTTTGGCTTTTCGTCTCACAGACTAACGTTCTCGCATCGAAACGGCCCATGTTCGGCAACCCATCATCAATACGGTGCTCCACACGAACACCGTAAGCACAAGCCGCATCGAAAGCACAAGACAACATTGCATGAAGATAGATATTAAACAGGGCAGGAGCTAACACACAGCCTTGCTTCACACCAGAGACAACTGTAAAGTCATCCGAGGTCTCTCCACTCAGCTGCACCATCCTCCACATACCACTGTGCAGACATTCAATCCAAGCAACAACCAAAGTTACCCAGCACCAGCCACAATGTCTCGCCGTTCACCGTATCAAATGCCTTGGTGAAATCAACAAACAGCGAGTACAACGGCTAGTGGCGTTTTCTGCACATCTCTTGCACCTGACGAGAAGCCGAAACATTATCGATAGTGCT